TGCTTCCCCCCCCCCCCCATGGAATCTTGGCAGCACTGTTTGAAGTGCTGGGAGGGAAGGGAATGTGTGAGAAAAAATTACCATTTTGGTAATAATGCCAGCTGTGGAAAAACTTTTCAGAGAGGCTAATCTAAAGTATATTTAAGACAGTTCCACAGCTTTTAGCACTTAGGTCTTTGAAATAATAATCTCAGCCTCTCAATAATATATTAATTAGGTTTTAGTTTACTGTGTTCCTTTTTATTCTTGGTACACACAGTTCTACTTCTAACAAATTTAATTTTATTCTGATCCATCCCTCCACTTTGAAGAGGCATTCTTTTCCAAAATTAGCAAGTGGCTTCAAAGATCAAGCTTTCTCATAATGATCTCACTGTCATCTCCAGATGACAATACATTCGCCCACCTTTCCTTCTGTCTCCTACATACAATGTTTGGGAAGCTAACAATAACGTCCTATTCAAGCAGGTATTGAACACGTGTAGCTTCCCCCAAAAGCTGAAGCAGAACGAATGAATGAATGAGTATATACATGCATTTCTAGTTAATCTAAGATTATTTAAAACAGAAATTATTATCTTCCTTTCAAGTAAATTCCAGTAGCTCTGGGAGAACTTGTTAATTTTGCTATGATAAACTGCTGTTTCAAGGTTGTGTATTCTTAATACTTCTTGTATTCTGTATGCTTTTAATTTTCTTTAGGATATCTGGGGGTCTCATGTTTGGGTTACAGCCTGACTCCAGGCCAAAACTGTGTGGCTCACAATATATGTGCACAAACACAATATATACTTATACAAAGAAAGAAAGAGGTCACCTATTCAGAAACTGAAGTAGTCAGAACTATAGAGTTTAGTCTAATTTTGTATTGAATCAAGGTCAGTTGTTATGGAAGCAAATATACCATTTTTTAAAAAAAGGCTTATTCAGGAGTACAGATTAGTTAGTGTTAGCTGATATCTCAAGAGCAGGGAAGTCTTTTCAATCCCTCACTAAAGAAACCTTGGATAATTGCTATCTCTCACGGCACCATAACATTAGGATGCAAACGTAGTGTGTATTCAACACCTGTCTGCAGGAGGTCAGATTTAAGGAACGGATCAGTGCTGCTTACATAGGGGGCACATGATGCTCAGATCTTTTTGCTTCTTCCCTACCCCTCTGAACAGCAAACCTTAACTGCAGAGGGGGAACCTAAGGCTCCAGATCTTTTTATGGCAATTCTTTCATCCCACCTCATCCCATTTCAGCCCCAACTGCTAAATAACAATAGCATGATGTTCTACTACTTTTAAGGCAGGAAAACATGAAAGGCTTTTGCACTGCTTATTCCACTAAGGAATGCTCATACTCTCATGTGTGGGAACAGGGACATCTAAGCGCCTTCTTACAGCAGTTAACATCTGCTACTAAGGAAGCTCACCCCAAACTGGCCTCTTTAAAGTTCTTTCTTTCTTTCTTTCTTTCTTTCTTTCTTTCTTTCTTTCTTTCTTTCTTTCTTTCTTTCTATCTATCTATCTATCTATCTATCTATCTATCTATCTATCTATCTATCTATCTAATCTATCTATCTATCTATCTATCTATCTATCTATCTATCTATCTATCTATCTATCTATCTATCTATCTATCATCTAAAAGTATTTTTCCTAAACTCACTGGATAAGATTTAATATTTTAATATTGTATTCCACTTTGTGAGCTGTAACACTGAAAGGTGATCTATATATAGAAAGAAGTGAATAACGAATTAATGAATTAATTACATTGGCCTGGATCCAAAGAAACATGATGGAATCAATTGGTTCATTCTAATGACCCAGAGCCAATTACCCAGAGAAGGTGATAGCCTCTCCTTCACTGGATGCATTCAACCAGATAGCCATCTGTTAGGGATGCTTTAATTTGGATTCCTGAACTGAGCGGGAGGTTGGGCTCAGTGGCCTAAATTGTTCCTTTCAACTCTGTGATTCTATAAAAAGGAATAATATTTTCTTCGTACAATGAGTTCTAGCAGTTCTATAAGAAAAAGAGCAAATGACATTGTAGTGAATGAACTCTTGTGGGTCAAAGAAGAAATGTTCTAGATCAGGGGTGTCAAACTGCCAGCCCACGGGCTGGATGCATCATGCAAAAGTCGCACCCCATCCCAGCTCCGGCAAGGGGAAAAAAGTCGTGATATGTCACGATGTGTCATGTGACACAAGTTTGACACCCCTGCTCTAGATCCAAGAGTCACTTTTATCCCATTTATCACCTGCCCCTCTTCTGTATGTTAAAACTCTTTCCTTACACAAGGGATAAGAGAAAATCTACTGCTAGTAGTTATGGATAGAAATGAAGCTTATTTGATTTTTTTTAACTGCCATCTGAACAGAGAAGTATACAGCTGCAGGGGCAGGATGAGGGAAAATGCACTCCCTACCCAAGCAACATTTTATATCTTATTCCAAATTTTGATGTGCCAGAAGTGGATAAAGCAACCTAGGCCAAGGAACGAGCCAATCCACAAAGAAGAGGGGGTCAATCTATTCTTCAAATCACCTTGAAGGCAGACCAAGAAGCAATGGATGGAAACTAATCAAGAAGAGAGCCAACCTAGAAATAAGGAGAAATTTCCTGACAGTTAGAACAATTTATCAGGTGAATGATTTTCTTCCAGAAGTTGTGAGTGCTCCATCACTGGAGGCTTTTAAGAAGAGATTGGACCACCATTTGTCTGAAATAGTATAGGGTCTCCTGCTTGAGCATGGAGTTGGACTAGAAGACCTCCAAGGTCCCTTCCAAGTCTGTTTTCTGTTATTCTGAATGTGGGTGGGTACTAGAGATGAAGCAGGGGTGTCATATTTAAAGTTCAGACACCTCCAAGACTTCTACTATTTTGATATTTCCTGTTTCATCTATGAAATGTCCAGCCAACATCTTTTGAAAGCCTTCCTCAACTTCAAAAAGTCATGTGCCAAACAACTTGCAAATGATAATTCCTTGGTGGTAGAACATGCAGCCTCAGATAGTATCTGCCCAACTAATTCAATTCTGATAGGATTGGCACAGTCAGGATTCCACTGATTGCCACCTATCAATGCTCCGGAAGCACACCATCTTTGTAGCAGCGCCTGGCCTCTCAAATGAAGTCCCCTCTCCTCAAGAGTCAAACAGGTCCCATTCTGCTGGTGTTTTGTAAGGGCCTTAAAGACCTAACTCTTTACCCAGGTTTTTGGAGAGGACAACTGATATTCTTTCATTTCTTCCCTTCCTTTCCGAGTTTACCTTGTTTGCTAACCTTGTTCTTCTATCCTGTATTATTTGTGTGTTTCCTATTGTTCTTTGTTTTTAACAACTATAAGCTGCCCAGATATGCTGGGAGTGGGGCAACATATAACTTGAATAAATTATCGTCCAGCGCACAGTCAGCCAGATGTTTAGAATAAATTTGGCATTTTTATCCAGCTATTGAGTCCTTACAAGGACCTGAGATAAGCAGATATTGCTTGATGGTGTTAAATGTATTGTTCCAGTATTATTATACCAACTAATTGCATCTGGAGCAAGCAAAACATTTTTGGACGTGACATTTTAACATAAGTAATGGGCAAAAAAGGAACAAGAGCCTAGAGGCACCATGGAGCTTCCTTGCAGGGAATAAAGCCTAACAATCTACTCAAGGAGTAGCCCAGCTGCCTAGGGAATCTTGCAGCCACATTATAGTTAACAAGCAGGGCTACGTTATGGCAGCTAACTAAATACATCTGGATAGCCTTGTAGAAAGAACAGGCTTAATGAATGCCAGCTGAATAAGAGCACGCTAGCTACAACCTCTCCTATGAAGTTGTGTGTTTGAGAGTAACTTAATAGTAACTGAAACTGGTCATTCTCATGCTCTAGCAGAGAGTATTCAGATTCGTGGATTCTTTGCTGCCTGAATTCTAACCTTTGTTCTCTTATCTTTGCCTCCTGGAACCTTGCCCAGAAGTAGAATGCTTTGACTTCTGACTTCTGGACCAATTTACTAATTTTCTCTATGTCCCCTTGCCCATGACTAACCCTTTTTGGAATTTGACCTTGAATTATATGTGGACTTGGTAGCAGGCAGCTTTCTGTGCACTTTTGCTTGGATTAAAGCATGCAGTTTGCAAGATCAATCCTAAACCTACTTGAGGGATCCAAACCAGCTACATGCTGGGTGGATGTGCAAAATATATCAATCTGAGAACAGAATGTTCTGTTTCCCCCTGTTTCTGGTACAAGCCATGGGGGGGGGGGGGAGCCTACCACTGAAATAGGACATTCTAGAGGGAAACCAAGTTCTGTTCACAGAGCCACACATTTTGCACACTTCAATTACTTAGCCATACTAGATCACAAAATTATTCTAGGCCAAAGTCATGTTCAAAATTTTCTAAATGGTGCCCTATGTATTGAAACATTGCTCTAAAGCAGGGATGTCAAACTGGTGGCCTGTCGGCCGGATGTATCACGTACAGGCCATGCCCACCCCGGCACCCCAAAAGCAAAAAATGTTGTGATACATCATGATACATCACATGATGCGATCGAGTTTGACACCTGTGCTCTAAAGGATCATGGGGTAGTCAAAACGTTTAGGGATCATCCTGTTTTCTGACTGTGAGACTCCTCTGAGTTTTCTTTCTCTCAGCTTTCACATAACTGTATATTGTTTTTGGTCCCCAATGGCAATGGTGATATCTTGCAAAATTCCAGAGTGGCAACTAAATTTTGAGCTGCAAAATGTCATAGTTATCATATCATCACTCTTTGCAGCCTGGCAGGAATGCCATGGAGTAACAAATGTGCAGATGACAAAAAAAAAGTTGTCACATTTTTGGGAGTGCCATTTGAACTGACTCAAAGAAAAACTAATGACTAGTTAAAATTACACTAATAACAGTAAAAGGAATGACTGATGGCAATGCCAGCCCTAAAGAATCTTTCAGGCAACGTACCAGCCTTAAAAGAAATGAGAGAAAAAAAGAGCTTACCTCTCCCTGGAAACTCTTCAACAGTGGAGCTACCTGTTTGCGTAAGTCCTGGAAGATAAAAAGAAAACACATAGATGAAGAAGTGGGTCATTAAAGAAAGATGGCTAAAAATGCAACTGTTTGAATAAACTGAAGGATTTACATCAGCTATTCCTATCTCCTTTTTTTTTTTTTTACCAATTCTATCATATTAGCTGAAGGCTGATTACGTTTTTAATCAAAACATTGCTATGAGCAAGGAATGTGGCAAAAATCCATTTTAACTGGCTCATGAATCTCGCCTGATATACAATTAGGGTTGTCCCAGAGGAGGGGAATTAGTTAACAAAAGCCTCTAGTAATATTGAATAATCAGTGAACTCCTTCAGTCTAACAACTCAATTGAAACAGAGCAGTGAATGACTAATGGAATGTAAAACATGTGAAGCCACATGGAAAGGGATCAAGCTAGACCCCAGTTTGAAGCATAGCCTCCTTTTGATTTGCAAGAAATTGGACATTATTTATTTAATGCGCATGTAAATCTCAATATAACAGAAACAGATGGTTTTAGCAGTTTACTTGCTTTTTCCCAGTATATTTATCTTCAAAAACCAATTTTTGAGCAAGTTTAATACTCCTGTGCGAAAAATTGGTATCACTGTATTTATTTAATTATTGGAAGAGAAATGATAATTTGCCTTTCAAAAGATGTTTTTTTCAAAATAGGAAATAAAAAAATAAAGCCATCCAAAGGAATGGCAAGCAATGGGGAGATTAAAGATGACAACTTATAAAGGGAAATAAAATGATGTGATAATTATAAAACCTGATCATGGATAGACTGATCCTTTAAAAGCAGGGGTGCCCAACCTTGGCAACTTTAAGACCTTTGAACTTCATGCTGGCTAGGGAATTCTGGGAGTTGAAGTCCACAAGTCTCAGAGTTGCCAAAGTTGGATATCCCTGATTTAAAGATTCTTAAAATCTAAGAATTAGCAAGGCAGCAAGTTCTATAATCTGGGGACTCTCACCAAAATCATTGGTCAATGATGAAACCATCAATGGGTTCTCTGACTTGCATTTTAAAGAAATATTACTTCTTTTTGCTAAATGTTCCAAATATGAATGGCAATTGAATAGCAATTAATTAAATTGGCAGTTTTGGAAAACCAGTACAAACCCATACCTTGGAATCTGTAGGAAATCAATGATTACACATTACTGCTCTGTAATATATACATATGTGTATGTATATACATATATATAGGTATTTGCTTCCCAGAGAAGGGTGAATGGAAAGAATTTCACTCCTGCTATTGTTCATCCCACCACCAATCTGCTGGCAATCATATATCCACATTGGTTCCCAGCAAGATTCATGGTACAATTATCTCTACGCTAAATATTTGAACAAGTGCTAGTTAACACAAATGACTGGAATCATTCAAGAGTATCATAAATTAGATTAGTAGCATCATTCTTCAAAATATGTACTAGTGTTTATCAGAAGGAAACAAATAAAAAATCAAGGTTGATAGAACGGGAAGCTTGCTGGTAAGTGAATAATAAAACAAGTAATAAGAGGAATATACTTGTTCATAAACAGATACCCTTCTGTGCAAAAAACAAGACAAAAAACCCCCTATCCTAAATTACAGTGACAAGTTTTAAGGACAAACTAAATGTAATACATTTTAACATGCATTGATTTTAAAAGCCGTTGCTCCCACAGCACTAAAAGCAGGACTAAAATGGGGGTGAAAGACTTCAAAATCTAGATCTTTTAATAATAACCCCAATGTATAACAATCCCAATAATATTTTAATAATCCCAAATAATAATAGACAGTAAAATAATAATGACAGTAAAATGAGAAAGGCTTACAGAGTCTAAAAGAACTGCAAGAACGAAACAGACTCTCTGTATCAAACAAGCATTAAACCTTCTTTGTTCCATTATTTTTATTACATAGCACAATTCAAAATGTGAGAATATGTAGTTTTCCTATAACTATTTCTAGAATTTTACAACACCTTTAAAAATAATTTTTATCACTTTGTATGTTTAATTTTCCCCAACTGAAAATATTTAAAGATATGGAAAACATTTTTGTTTGAATCATGATTAAAATCATGGCCGTAAATCATTACTTGTATGAATTATTTGTATCATCTCAAACCTGTAATGTTTCAGAACAAAACAGGAATCATTTATCCCTATTTTAAACCAATAATCTCTTTTTATAGTCAGATTGCCGATCCATTTAATTATGGTAGTATCACGTATTCTCAAGGGTAGAGGTTCTCTGATCCTTGCTGGCTGCAAGAGATACGAAACACCACTTTGGGATTTTGGCTGGAATATCATTATCTGAGTCTTTTCTTTGGCTCATATACTTACCATGAGTAAGACAAAGTAGAACGGTGCTTAAAAATTTATAAGCCTTTTTTGAATGTTCAATATTTCTGCATAAATATGACCTAAATCATTGTCCCACTAAAGCAAGCAGGCACCTATGTCTGGCAGTAGCAATATAGGAAAGTGTGGGAGATGGATGATGAGTTTAGTGGCAATGGCATTTTATAGTCTGTAGGAGAAAGCAAAAGTAAACTATTCTAGTGTTCTACCAAGCAAACCACACGGATCAGACAAGAAAAGGAGACATCTAAAACAGGTGCTTAAGTTTTCAAGCATACCTCCTTTAGCACAAATTTAAAGCCTTTAAACAAGTTTGCATTCATTTCTTTCTCGGTATCCTTTTCCTCTTTCATTCTCTTTTCTTAGAAAATATTTTAAAGATATTTATTCCCCAAAGAGTCATGGCTTTCTTTTCGCACATTGCAATTTTTCATCACAAGAAAAGCAAGAGTGACAATATCTGATGAGAGAGGGGCTTGCTTTTTGAGGCTAAGAAGCTGTCACATTAATAAACATCAGAGAGAATTTTGAAGGAGGAGCCATAGAAAACCCTAGGTTCGATTTCTTTCCAGCTAAAGAATTGGATAAAAAATTGAATAAAGTTTTCCCTCTCGGTTGTGTCCATCTCTAAGGCAGGATGCTCATTTCTGTTTCTGGGCCAAGTAAGCCAGTGTTGCCCAAAGACAATTTCCATAGCCATGGGGCCAGCATGACTATATGCTATGGCGCACAGAATGCTGTTGCCTTCCCACAAAAGTGGTACCTACTTATCTACTTGCATTTGCATGCTTTCAAGCTGCTAGGTGAGCAGGAGCTGGGGCAAGTAATGGGAGCTCATCCCATCATACAGTGCTCAGGTCTCAAACCCAGGCTGTCAGCTCTCCAGCCGACAAGCTCAGTGTCTTTAACCATTGAGCCATTGCACCCAAAAAAGAACTGGACATTAGTAATAAAGTTTGATTAGTGAAAAATCACTAATCTTAGTGATAAAGTTTGACTCTTGGGCCAGTCAATTTTTCTCAGCCCTAGGAAGAAGCAATGGCAAATAATTTCTGAAAAATCTTGTCAAAAACCTGCAGGGACTTATCCGAGAATTGGACACAACTGAACAGAAGAAAAAATAAGTTTGATAGGGACAAAATTTAACTAGCATTAAGATATCTTAGCAGTTACAGCCACACCATTCTTTTCTGACAATAAGAAATCAACAGCCGAGGTCTGAAATAATATTTTAAAAATTCTCCATATTATTGCCCAAAAGCCCTACATGGATTTGTCCCTGCAGTCACCAGGATTTGAGTTCCAAAAGTATACCGAATAAAAAACAATGTATAAATTGTTGTATAGATTTGGTAAAAGCAGATAGTTTGTAAGGATGGATAGATCCGGCTGTATTTCCTTTATTTTTCTTATCTAATAAATAATAACTGATTTCTTTGGCTTACTACTTCTCACTGTTTTTCAGGATTTTTGTATAACACTGTTTATCCCCAAAGGGCATGGTATGAGAAGAAGGTATGTATGCTATTAAATGCAACAGATTCTTCTTAGTGGTTTTCAGTCCAGGTTTGAAGGGCAAACAGTAACCATATATCATACAGACATTTAAAATTAGCTCAAGCATATTGTCATTAATACCATACTGTCTATTTGAATGAAGTCTTTGAACAACTTATCTTTTAAAATGAGCCAATGACCCAGTTCCTTACTGCTGATTCTATGAACAACTATTCATGATTAAAATGGGCAAGCACCTTTCCACTGTGTTTTTATTACCAGCCATAGATCATTCCCTTTTACCATACAGTTGGCATTTTCCAACATCATTGCCCCTGTCAACAGATTCATTCTGCTTTGTGACTGAACTGTTCTGCTACCATACCTTTTGATTTCTAGATTTCTCCAGTTATTGACAGGCCTGATTTGACAAAACCATACTCTGGAGATCATAGGAGATGGTGCATAGACAGTACTAAGGGAGAAGGCAAGCAACAAAAGAGCCAGTGATTCAACTGTGGTGACCAAAAGAATTAGAGATCAAATTTTCAGGCAGTAAGTAGGAAAAAAATGGACAGTCTTCAGAAAAAAATATAAATTGTTTAGATTCAGCACACTATGGGGCTATTTATAACACCTTATGTTCAGGGCAAGGGCTGCAACTATTTGAGATTTGTACAACAGTTTTTTCTGCCAGGATTAAAGAAGGAATAGAGCACCAGAATCTGACTTCAGAGACCCATTTCGCTGTGTCCCCACATGATGCCTTAAAGCAGAGATAAATAACCTGTTCTTCTGCTGATATCTTGCAATTCCTACAAGGTCTGGTTAATAGGACTCATGTCTGGAACTTATGGCACTTATAGTCCAAAACATCTGGCAAGTATCTTATACTTGCCCATAACCTAAAGACTTCTAACCTTGCAAGGGAAATGATTTCCTGTCTCCCTCTCCTGGAACTGGCACATAATAGAGCTTCTGAGGACCCAACTTTTCCTTTCAAAGGAAAACAAGACTGATGGATGTAGTAATAAAAGATTGACTGCTCTCATGAGAAACTGCACATTCTAGTGCTATGGCCACCTGTACATCTACTATTCTAAGTGACCAAGCAGCTAGGCTGGCGCATGAGAAAGATGACTTTTTGGGG